GGTTATAAAGCCACAACAGAACTCAAAAGCCTCACTTTTTATGAACATCACACATTTCCCAGAAATAAATCACAGGGATGACTGGCAAGTCAATTGCTTCACGATTTTTCAAATGCAAATATTCAGTGCTGCAATTAAGACATAGCATAATAGGGTCAGCATTAAGAGAACAACAAAAGGTTGAAGTAACTTAGTGAAAATCCCTGTAAGCTGTTGTGACCATCTGAAATGAGTGTCCCACCATCAATTCTGCAGGAATAGCAGCACTGTTCCTCCTGCTGAATTTCCCCATCTGAATGCTAAGATGGTCTGGCTCTGCTCATTCTCCAGAATGCAAAAGAAAGTATCTTTTAAATCCAAAGTAGATAAATCATTATTTGTCCATGATAATTTGTTTTATTTCTCTTAAATCCTGCACCAGCCTATACTGCTGAGAATGAGGCTTCTTTGCTGGTGTCTGATTCAGAGGGACCTCCTCCAAGCAGCATTCAGGATGTCATGCTCAGGTTCCTCTGAGCTCTGGTTCATTATTAAACAGATGCAGGCCTTCCATGCCTTTTCTTGTGGGATACACAGAGTTTACTGAAAAAGGTTTTCAAGCATTTAACTTGCAGAGTACACTTCCTGTGTCTTGGTTTGAAAAGCCAGGTGTCTGCTAAGGAAGGCAGGAGCCTCCCTTAAAATGGAAAATGTAAACCCTCTCCCTCTGAATTATTGAAATTAAGGGGCTCTCAGGAAAAGATATGGGAACAGGAATAACAGTTAGTAGGGAAGAAATAAAAAAAATAAAATGCAGTAATACCAAACATCACTGCCAGAGTCAGAACATGCCCTGTCCCCCGTGGGTCAGGGAGGTGGCTCAGTCCCGTCCCAGGGTGGCTCAGCCCTCCTGCAGTGCCAGCTGTGCTTCTGCTGGAGCAGGATCCTGCACAAGGGGGGAGTTTTCCTCTGGAGCTCCAGGGCTGGGGGAGATGGGCCTGGGCTCCTCTGGGAATGCAGGGGGAAGAAAGCTGCTCCTCTGGGAATGCAGNAGTTAGTAGGGAAGAAATAAAAAAAATAAAATGCAGTAATACCAAACATCACTGCCAGAGTCAGAAGATGCCCTGTCCCCCGTGGGTCAGGGAGGTGGCTCAGCCCCATCCCAGGGTGGCTCAGCCCTCCTGCAGTGCCAGCTGTGCTTCTGCTGGAGCAGGATCCTGCACAAGGGGGGAGTTTTCCTCTGGAGCTCCAAGGCTGGGGGAGATGGGCCTGGGCTCCTCTGGGAATGCAGGGGGAAGAAAGCTGCTCCTCTGGGAATGCAGGGGGAAGGAAAGCTGCTCCTCTGGGAATGCAGGGGGCAAAGGCTGCTGTGCTGTTCCCAGGTCAGATTGTATCCAGGTAGGAATGTTTGGCTCCTCCCCTGGGCAGAGCATCTCCCCATGGATGATGGAATTTTCTCAGCCATGCAGGGACACTCACTGGCCATAGACAGAAGATAATTAATAATTAATGGCCCATGAACAGAAGAGATCTCCTGGAGGGAGGATTGGCTGTGGAAGAGATAAAGAAAACACTGCCCAGTGAACAGCAGAGAACTGCCCCAGCTCTGACAGATGGTGACAGAACACACACACAGCCACATCTTGCATTTCCAACCTAAGACATCCTGGCATACAGAAACTCATGAGTTAATTTAGTATCTCCAGCTGTGCATTCTGTGGGTTGTAAGAATGGCTGTGAAGCTCACTTTCCCATTACCCCAACATCAGAATTGTAACTTTACTTAGCAGACCCTTGCAGTGAGTTTTACTGAATGTCTGGCTCCATTATCCAGTAGAAATACCTGGTTTCAGTTGATGTATTATCTTAAATTTCTGTCTTCCATTCTTTGTTTTCTATAGCTGCTGCAATTACTGAGACATGTTAAACCATAACTGATCCATCTGGGAGCTATACACCAATACTAGAGATTATCTTATGAATTTTCAGCAGTGCCTTTGTTACATGATCAGTTTGGTTTTGTTTAATCACAGGACTATGTAGCAAAAAAAAAGGAGGACTCTGAGCAGCATCACTTGCTGTGAACAGTGAAATCAGGGCTCTCCTTTCTCCACATGTCAAGAGTTTGGTTCTCCCATTTTCTCCTGAAACTGCAAAATAAAAACTTGACCCCCTTAGTTGGAAACTTTTTAGTGTAAGGCATTGAAAACAGTTTTCATGTCTATGTAATGATTTAT